GTATTAAAAAAAAAAAAAACCCTTAATATCTGTGAAACACGATGAAGTGAAACATAATAAAATGAGGTACGCCTGTGACTGGTTAAATTTCAAATGTTAAACCAATCTGAATTCCTAGGATAAACTCCCTTTGGTCATAATATATTATCTTTTTATATTTTGGCTATTTCAATTTGATAATATTTTGTTAATATTTTTGCTTTTATGTGCATGAGAGACATCAGTCTAGCAGTTTTTTTCTTTTTAAATGTCTTTGACAGGTTTTTGTATTAAGGTTTTATTGACTTCACAAAATAAATGGGGAAATGATCTATTTTCTGAGAGATTTTGTATGAGATTGGAGTTCCCCACTCCACAAACTGGTTAAATGTTGGATAAATTTTTTCCTGTCAAACTGTCCAAAAAACTACCCTGATATTTTTATTGTGGGAATTATTATTTTTAAACATGTTATTGGGCCATTCTGATTTCAGTTTCCCCTTGTGTCAGATTTCACCTTGCAGAAGTTGTATTTTTCAAGGAATTTGTTCAACTAAGTTGCTAAATTTCTGGTATATACTTCTCATCCATTAAATATTTGTAGGGTCTGTAGTGACAATCTTTCCTTCACTCTTGGTATTACTACTTTGTGTTCTCTCTCCTTCTCCCTTTCTCTTTTTTCTCTAACTGGGTGTTTATCAGTTTTGTGGGTATTTTCCAAATATTGGCTTTGTTAAATTTCTTTAAAGTTATTTCCTTCATTTATTTTGAAATTATTGTTTTTTTCTTTTCTTTCTTCTTGAAACAGAATCTTGGCCACAAATTTTAGATCATTCCTCTGGTAATCTAAACATTAAAAACTATAAAATTTTCTCTAGGGATTGCTTTCGCTACATTTCACAAATTTAAATACATCTTTCTTTTCTTTTTTAACTTTTATTTTAGGATTGGGGTACATGTGCAGATTTGTTATATAGGTAAACTCGTGTCGGGGGGTTTGCTTTACAAATTACTTCATCACCCAGGTACTAAGCCCAGAACCCAATAGTTATTTATTTTACTCCTCTCCTTCCTCCCACCCCCCACCCTCAATTAGGCCCCAGTGTCTGTTGTGCCCCTTTGTGTCCATGTGTTGTCATTATTTAGCTGCCACTTACAAGTGAGAACATGTGGTATTTGGTTTTCTGTTTCTGCATTCATTTGCTAAGGATGATGACCTCCATGTTCCTGAAAACGACATGACTTCTTTCTTTTACTATGGTTGCATGGTATTCAATATTATGATGCATATGTACCACATTTTCTTTATCCAGTCTACCACTGAGGGGTATTTAGATTGATTGCATATCTTTGCTATTGTTAATAGTATTGTAATCAATATACATGTGCATGTATCTTCATGATAGAATGATTTATACTCCTTTGGGTATACAGTGATGAGATTGCTGGATTGAATAGCAGTCCTGTTTTTAGCTATATGAGGAAAAGCCACACTGCTTTCCACAATGGTTGAACTAATTTACACTCCCAGAAATTGTGTAGAAGCATTTCCTTTTCTCTGCAATCTTGCCAGCATCTGTTATCTTTTCACTTTTTAGTAATGATCATTCCAACTAATGTGAGATGGTATCTCATTGTAGTTTTGATTTTCATTTCTCTAACGATTGGTGATATTGGGCTTTTTTCATATGCTTGTAGACAGCATGTATGTCTTCTTTTGAAAAGTGTTTGTCTATGTTCTTTGCTAACTTTTTAATGAGGTTTGTTTTTTTTTGTAAATGTGTTTAAGTTCCTTATAGATACTGGACATTAGACCTTTCTCAGATGCATAGTTTATAATATTTTCATTGTTTCGTATATTTTCTAATTTTTCTTGTAATTTCTTTTCTGAGCCATAATTATAATATTTAGAAATTTATTTAATTTCCAAATATTTGGGGGTTTTCTATCTTATTGTTATTGATTTCCAATTTAATTCCGTAGTATACAAAGAGTAGATCTGGTACAATTTTAACATGGTCAGAATGGAAGTTACTATTATTATTGTGTTATGTGGGCTTCAGTAGAAGAAAAAACGATAGAAGGAGAATTGTTACATCAGAAAGAGAATGTCTCTAGTATGATCAACTAAAGATTGAGAGATGTGAGACAGGAAATGTGTGTGTGAGTGTGGGCAGGTGAGGGACAGAGTTGAGGAGTTCGGTGTACCCCTTAAGGAGCGGGGAGAGGCTGGTGGGGAGATACATCCCCTGCACCAGTCTCCAGGTGGTGCTATGAGTCCAGAAGAACTTCGATGCATTCTAAGCATACAGGTAAGACCCATGATTCCACCAGGCATTCCTCCATGAAGAACTTTTGAAAAGCTGCTGAATATTGAAAGAGTATGGTTAGTATTTCCCAACTTCCTAGTAGATACAGGACATTCAGTTCATCTAGGGAGAAATATGAGGACATTTGGGTCGTGTGTAATAATCTAAAACATTGTTTCTCAGGGTGGTTAAAAATTAGAGTCACCTGAGGAGCTTTGAAATCTATTGATGCTCTGGCTCCACCATAAATAAATTCTGATGTATTTTCTCTGGGTTGAGGCTTGAGTATCATCAATGTTTTTAAAACGCTTCTCAGATGGTTCTAATATGCAGACCAGTGCTGAGAACCAGTTATCTAAAACGATGCTGTTGAGATCTTCTATTTCCCTTTGAGAGAAAGAAAAGGTAGTCAACACACACACACACACACAGAGTTGACTGCCTTTTTAAAAAAAACAATACATGCTTGTGTGTGTGTGTGTGATGACCAGCAGATTAAGCAGCAGAAAGGCACACACAAGTAGAAACCGTCCAGTGCCCTCAGGACACCACAGTGAGTGATGCTTTGTCTGGTCCACAGCTGTATCTGCTCAGGGAGCCTCCTCTGCCACACTCTGGAAACACTCTTAAGAAAGGGGCCCTTATATAAGTTACTATGCATAGTGTGTTTCAATAGTGTTTGGCAAATGATAAAGGCTCAGAAAGTGTTAGTTGTTGTTACTACTGCTATTTTGTTAGGTCATCTAACAGAATTTATTTTGAATTAAGAATAAAAGGAATCAAAGAAATTTAACATGGTGTAATCATCTTTCCTTTGGGAGTTTAACTCATTCTTTCAAGTCTTGTATGCCATTGAACATAAACTTTCTTAGCTTTTCTTTTTTTTTTGTTTGAGACGAAGTCTTGCACTGTCACTCGGGATGGAGTACAGTGGTGTGATCTCTGTTCACTGCAACCTCCACCTCCTGGGTTCAAGCAATGCTCCTGCCTCAGCCTCCTGAGTAGCTGGGATTATAGGCACCTGCCACCATGCCCAGCTAGCTTTTTGCATTTTTAGTAGAGATGAGGTTTCAGCATGTTGGCCAGGCTGGTCTTGAACTCCTGACCTCATGATTCGCCTGCCTCGGGCTCCCAAAGTGCTGGGATTACAGGTGTGAGCCACCACACCCAGCCCAAACATAAGCTTTTTTAAAAAAGTAACACAGTAAGTGTGTACATGCCTGCAAAACAATATACAACACAGTGTACATTGCTTTTTTAAAAAAAGCATGTTCTCATTCGTAGGTGGGAGTTGAACAATGAGAACACATGGACATAGGGAGGGGAATACCACACACAGGGACTGTCAGAGTGTGAGGGGCTAGTGGAGGGACAGCATTAGGAGAAATACCATCAAATGACAAGGTAATGGATGCAGTCAGCCACCCACCATGTCATGTGTATACCTATGTAACGAACCTGCATGTTCTGCATATGTACTCCAGAACTTAAAGTACAATTAAGAAAAAATAAAATATATGGAATTTAAAAAAATTTTTACATCTAAAAAACTGAAAATAAAAAAAAATAAAAGGCATACAGTAAGTGAAACATGATGGAGATCACTAAAACATGGATGATGAATTATTTGAAAAAAAACAAATAAAAAAAACCTGTCCTAGCTTGTAGGTATGGATACTTGTGGTCTGGGATAAAATTTTCTGTAATAGCATTACATCTGTATTTAAAAATTGCTGTGCTATAGAAACGTGGGTGGCAGAGAAGACAGTGTGTTTTGGAAAACTGTTTAAAAAAAAATTAGAAAGGGTTTCCAGTGACAGCAAAGTTGCTGACAGCTAAGACACACATGACACATGTGAACAGATTGTTTCATGAAATATCACAGTAGAATAAAGCAATATTCCAAAGTATGAGTGTGTATAATTTTCTTTTCAGTTTTATGCAATTAATATATATATGTGTAGACTAACAAGTGGAATATGATAGGTAACTTTTTAACTATTTCACTTAGAGGCTTAAATATATGTTCAAGTTGGCAAAAAATGTTTTTTAAATTTTCTGTTTCAGAAAATAGGCATTGGCTTTGTAATTGGGAGGGACTTGCCTTCAGGTGTGTAGATAATTAGGAAAAATGTAAGGAAAGGGATTAATTAGGAAGAAAAGACAAATACAGACAGCCTCCTTTTCCCTTGTTTATACTTCTTAGCAATTATCACTGCAACATTTTAGAATAAGAAAATACTTGTAAGTCACTGAATTGTAGACTTGCCTGGGCTTGTTCTTGGGCCAGTGAGGTTTTTAGAAGAAAGCTCACTTCCTGCAGTCGCCATGGCAACTTCAACAATACAGGCCCTACACTGCCAGCTCCCATCTGTCCAACAGATTCCCAGGGAGGAGTAATGTGTTATCACAATAAGAGATGATTTCCAACTTTTAACATTTTTAAGTAGGATATTTACTGTTATTCAATTCATAAATCCACTCATCTTCAATCTCAGCTACCTACCACCTCAAAAACACATACACATGTTGCCAGTGGAGGGTCTTGACTACAAGTTGTCCAAGTTTTGGTATTTTGAACAACGAATTGGACAAAATGCACAAGCAAAGCAACGAAAGAATGAAGCAACGAAAGCTGATTTACTGAAACAAAAGTATACTCCACTCAAGAGCACTGGTGACAGAATTTTCTGGGGTTTAAATACCCACTACAGGTTTCCCATTGGTTATTTGGTTACACTCTACGTAAATGAAGATGTGGCCCACTACCAGTCTGGTTGCAGGAGGTGATCATCAGAGGCGGAACTGAAGTTACAAAGTTAGACATGAAGACTTGGGCCACCACTCATCTGATTGGTTGCAGGAGGGGACCAATCAGAGGTACTTTTCATTTTTTATCTGCTATGCAGTGCCACAGTGTCTGATCCTTTTGTTACTTGGGGGTGGAGAGGTGGGGCTTTCTTTTCCTTTTGATTCAGTTCTAGAAGTCAGGGAATCAGCCTTAGATTCCCCACCTCCAGACCCTATTCTCCTACCTCACACCCACACACAAACAAACACACACCTTCATTTGCTCCATCTTTTTTTATCTTATTCTAAGATTACCAACAGTATTTTGGGATGCAGCCATTGAGTGAACTGGAAGCTTCCACCCTGCCTACAGATTCGAAGTTGTAAAATGCCTCTTCTGCCTGCCTGAAGCACAACCACAGAAATTCCAGTTGCGTGCCACACTCTGAATTTAAAAAGAGGAGATTCCCTAGGAAGTATTTTTACATTTATGTTCAAGTTTTTTTATGAACTTGAGATATTCACCAGGATGGAGACTCCTCAGCAGAATCTAGAGGAAGCATTGCTCTCTGAGTTCACTTATCTTACATTTTTTCTACTATCTGTCCAGAAAAACTCTTGAATCTCAAAGAAAAATTCTTAAGCTTGCTCAAAATATTTAACCAAATCAATCTGCTGGGCTTTTCTAATTGCAAGTGATATGCAAGCAGGGAAATATTGTACTATCATCATTTTAAATACTCTTTTTCCTACCTTTCCTCTGCTTCCACCTCAGCCCTTCTACTTACACAGTTGACCCTTGAACAACATGGGTTTGAGCTGGTAAGATCTGCTTAATTGCAGACTTTTTTTCAGTAAAAGTTACATTAAGTGTGCTGCCAATCTTGCCTCCCTTTCCAACTCTTCCAGCTCTACCACCCCTGAGAAAGCAAGACCAACCCCTCCTCTGTCTCCTCCTCCTCAGCCTATTCAACATGAAGACAACAAGTATAAAGACCTTTATGATGATCCACTTCCACTCAATGAATAGTAAATATATTTTCTCTTCCTTATGATTTTCTTAATAACATTTCCTTTTTTTCTAGCTTACTCTATTGTAAGAATATGGTATATAATACATATAACATACTAAATATATGTTAATTGAACTGTTTATGCTATCTGGAAGGCTTCAGCTCAAAAACAGACTATTGGTAGTTAAGTTTCAGGGAGTCCAAAATTATAGGACACATATAACCCCAGTAAAAAGATACCATTCAGGACACAGGCATAGGCAAGAACCTCATGACTAAAACACCAAAAGCAACAAAAGCCAAAATAGACAAACGGGATTTAATTAAATTTAAGAGTTTCTGCACAGCAAAAGAAACAATCACTAAAGTGAACTGGCAACCAACAGAATGAATGGGAAAAAATTTTTGCAAGCTACCCATCCGACAAAGGGTTAATATTCAGAATCTACAAAGAACAAAAACAAATTTATTATAAGAAAAAAAAAAAACCCAACAAAAAGTGGGCAAAGGATATGAACAGACACTTTTCAAAAGACATTTATGCAACCAACAAACATGACAAAATGCTCATCATCACTGGTCATTACAGAAATACAAATCAAAACCACACTGAGATACCATCTCATTCCAGTTAGAATGGCAATCATTAAAAAATCTGGAGTCAACAGATGCTGGAGAGGGTGTGGAGAAATAGGAACACTTTTACACTATTGGTGAGAGTGTAAATTAGTTCAACCATTGTGGAAGACAGTGTGGTGATTTCTCAAGGATCTAGAAATAGAAATATCATTTGACCCAGCAATCCCGTTACGGGTATACACCTAAAGGATTATAAATCGTTCTATTACAAAGACACATGCACACATATGTTCATTCAACATTGTTTACAATAGCAAAGACCTGGAACCAACCCAAATGCCCATCAATGATAGACTGGATAAAGAAAATGTGGCACATATACACCATGGAATACTATGCAGCCATGAGAAAGGATGAGTTCATGTCCTTTGCAGGGACATGGATAAATTTGGAAACCATCATTCTCAGCAAACTGACATAAGAACAGAAAACCAAACACTGCATGTTCTCACTCATAGGAGTGAACAATGAGAACACATGGACACAGGGAGGGGAACATCACACACTGGGGTCTGTTGCGGGGTGGGAGGCTAGGGGAGGCAGAGTGGGGGGTCGGGAGAATAGGGAGGGGTAACACTGGGAGAAATACCTCATGTAGGTGACGGGGGGATGGAGGCAGTGAACCAACATGGCATGTGTATATCTATGTAACAATCCTGCAAGATCTGCACATGTGCTCCAGAACTTAAAGTATAATTTAAAAAAAAAGGACATGAACAGACTGTTTTCAAAAGAAGACATACATGCAGTCAATAAGCATATGAAAAAATGCTCAACATCACTAAAGAAATGCAAATCAAAACCACAACGAGATACCACTTCACAACAGTCAGAGGTTATTATTAAGAAGCCAAAAAATAACAGATGCTAGCAAGGCTGCAGAGAAAAGGGAACAATTATACACTGCTCACACACTGTATTATAAATTAGTTCAGCCACTGTGGAAAGCAGTTGGGGAATTTCTCAAAAAACTTAGAACTACTGTTTGATCCAGCAATCCCAATATTAGGTAAATACCCAAAGGAATAGAAATTGTTCTACCATAAAGACACATGCATGCAAATAATCATTGCAGGACTGTTCATAATAGCAAAGACATTGGATCAACCTAGGTGCCCATCAACAGCAGGCTGAATAAGAAAAATGTGGTACATATACACCATGGAATACTATGCAGCCATGAAAAAGAATAAGATCATGTCATTTGCAGCAACATGCATGGAGCTGGAGATCACTATCCTAAGTGAACTAACAAAGGAACAGAAAACCAAATACTGCAAATTCTTTCTTGTAAGTGGGAGCTAAGCACTGAGTACACATGGACACAAAGAAGGGAATAACAGACACTTCAGCCTATTTGAGGGTGGAGGCTGGGAGGAGGGTGAGGATCAGAAAACTACCTGTGGAGTACTATGCTTATTTTAACACCTGGGTGATTAAACAATTTGTACACCAAATCCCTGACACCAATGTACCTTTGTAACAAACCTACACATGTGCCCCTGAAACAAAAATGACAGATGAATAAATAAATAAATGTATCTGATAGGATTCTGAAAAAAAAGTTATACAAGGATTTTCAACTGTGCCGGTGTGGGTGTCATTGCCCCAACCCTCACCCCTGTAAAGGGTCAACTGTATATTAAGGGGGGAGACAGTGGTAAAGGAATACCTTTCAGTGGTGAGTATAGTGTGCATATGAACAGGTGGTAGAATATGATTTTTATATTCCAGGCTTAGCATTTGAAAAATATGTGTAACATTTGGAAAGAAAAATAATCAATGGACTAGTGAACATCCTTAAAATGACTAAGTTATCACAAATGAATCTGAGAAAACCAACCCTTCTGTTCTGTAATCTTTGTGGCAGGCAAAAGAAGAGCTGAGAAAGGCTGTTGAAGTTGACTCTTGGTGGGTACCTATGATACGCTTTCCCAAAGAGCTTGTCCCTTCCCCATGGAGCTTTATTTCTATTAACCTCGCTGAAAAAAAAATTGGGATTTCCTGGGAAAATACTTTTGGGGAGTGTAGCATACTTTATGTCCTTCTTGGAGAGCTATAATGTACATTCACTTATTAAAGCTTCTGAAAAGTTCTGCAGTAAAAACCCTATTAAACTTTGTTTAACCTTGTGTTTAGACTTTAAATTCTAGAACTCATTTGGGCATAGAGATCCCATTTGCACATAACTCCTATTAACATCACATAGGACCAATATTTCTTAGAATATATCTAGGGAACTGCAATGTTAGTCTATTACATTTCTTATTTGTCTTTAAAATAACCAGTTTCTTATCTGTAATTGGAAAAAGCTGCAGACACCTATCCCTGCCCCCACTAAAGCCTAACCTCATGTGATTCCTTTAAAACAACAGGGCTAGCTTCTTCCCATCTTCTGAGAGGTTTCCTGCGGCCAGGGCTGGACCCAGAGGCCAAGAAGGTGACCCTGCCAGGTATGAACAGCTGCAGCCTGAGGTGCACTTCAAAGTCTTGCTCTCAAAGTGTCGACCCAGTCAGGACTGCACCTTTCTCATCCATAAGCCTGTTAGAAATGCAAACTATCAGGCACCACCCCAGATCTACTGAGAAAGAAACTTTATTTTCACCAGATTCCCAGGTGACTTACATGCAGTGAGCCAACGTCCACAGGGGAGAAGCAGAGAGATGTCTCATTCTGGAAGAGGGTGGAGGCTGGGGAGCCAGCTTGCCTGCCTTTGACGCTGAGTGTTTGTGCAAAATAACCTGAAGCCACAGCAGTGTGTGGCTCTGCTCATCTTTAAAGTGTGGTTGGGATCATCATAGAGTCTGAGAAAAGCCAGGAGGATAACTTGGAATCTCTTTAGGGAAGTGAAAGAGGACTGGCCCAGGGAACTAAGACCAACAAACACAAGATCCTGGAGGTATTCCCAGTGAGATTCTTTGGGAATCACAGAGAGCCCAGGCCTTGGGGGATGTAGCTTCTTATGAGAGTCAGATAAGAATGATGGGAGCAGCCCTTCACAGGTGTGGAACTTCAAACCAGCTGGGTGTTAATGACCCCTACCTCCCAGATAAACAACTCAGTGGCAGAGAAAATATTGTGATTGCATACAGATGTGAAATCAGGCCTCATCCTAGATTACCTTCACATTCTAAACAAATTAGTATTTTGTCAGAGCTTTTGTTAATTCTTTAGTCTTCACCCACATATGCATGTACACATGCTTACTAAAAACAGAGAAAAAAATACGTGGACCTCATGCTTGTGAATATCACAAGATGATTTCTCGATCTCCGCATCTTCATACATTCGGAAACCTCCTCGCTCACACACACACACACACACACACACACACGCACACACGCACGCACACATGTATGCAAGGGTGTTCAGGACTTCTTATTCTTTTTGGGGTAACACTTAGGACATACGACGGACAAAAAAAGTCATAGACCTCATAGAGTTATAGTCTTCAGCACAGCAATGATTCTATGGCTCAGAGGAGGTGGCTCTTCATTCCATTGCAAACTATCAGGGACCACCCCAGATCTACTGAGAATGAAACTTTATTTTCACCAGATTCCCAGGTGACTTACATGCAGTGAGCCAACGTCCACAGGGGAGAAGCAGAGAGAAGATGTCTCATTCTGGAAGAGCGTGGAGGCTGGGGAGCCTGCTTGCCTGCCTTTGACGCTGTTTGTGCAGAATAACCCCAATGTTTTGTCTCACATTGCTGGGCACCTCTAGCAGATGTACGGTATGTACAATACTCAAAACATTGCCCAGAAAAACATATAAAATTGAGGATATAAATAATTTCACCTTCCCCATGCCCCACTTTCCTCTTGCCTCTTGCTGATAAGAAAAAGATTAAGTAAGAATCTCAGTAAGCCTAGAGACATGAAGTCTGTAGCCTCAGTTACGAGTGAAGCTGGCTCCATCTTCACTTCCTGAGACCCAGGAAGGTAGGGGGCATGGTCAAGGTCACAGCCCTAATTAGAAACTGCTACCTAGACTCACAGGTACTCAGCCCACTCCTGAGGCGCACCCATGCCTGAAGAAATAAAAGGCCCAACCAGTGGGCTCTCAGAACGATGACGCTCACACATGAAAAGACCTTCCGTGCAATCCGCAAATTTCACTGCCTTTCACAAAGTGGCTAGACCTATTTTTTTCAAACACCGTGAATTTTGGTGAAAACTTTTGTGATTTGAAAATGCAACATTTACCCTTAATTTAAACCCCTTTGTATTTTCAAGGGAAATTTAAGTTAAAAAACATGTCTTTCTGGTTAAATGGAAGCCTGTTCTCCATAAAAGGAGGAGGGGGAAAGTCAGGTGGATGCTGCAGGCTGGTTCTCAGGGGGATTTGGGTAGAAGCTGCTGAACTTGGAGAAGTAAACTGTCAGCTGAGGAGGGGTGGGTTGGGGAGCTAGAGAAACAGCAAAAGGAATGGGCATGTTGCTCTGGGGGGGTGGTCAAAGGAGGCATCTTCTACAAAGTGCTGAGGTGGAGAGGGCTGGCTGGGGATCTCATGAGTCTAATGGCACCCAGAGGTTGGCAAGGCCATGTCACCTAAGTGTCCTAAGGTCACAGGACAGGAGTAGGAAAAGCAGTCATGTAGTTTGCTGACTATGATTTTCACTGTCACTTCTCTGCCAAGACAATGATAAGTCCTTCGAAGGAATCACACTGCATTGATCTTTGTATTCTTGGACCTGACATGATGCTTAGCTGTATGCAAATGATGCTGCAAAAATAGATGACAAGTAAATGAGAAAAATAAGGTATTTCCAATCCAAACCACCAAAAGCCAATTAAGTCTAGAGCAATACCTTCATGATTAGGGTTACTTGTTAATAGTCATAGACTACCTTCCAAACTGGCAAAATAATTGTTTGACTTAGTGAAACTAAAAGAAAAAAATCCACTGGTTGATGTAGCACAGAAAAATAAAATAGAAAAACTTTGTCAAACTCTGTTCAGTTTAACAGTCTAGTGCAATCGATCCAACAGCTGAACCATGGCTCTAGGTGGACACAGCCTCTCCTTCCCCTTCCTGCTCCCGACCACCACTTGATTTCCTCTCTTCTCTTTGTTGATTTTTAAAATCTACTAGCTCTGGACAAAAATATGAAATTATGCTACATGGGCTGACTTTTCATTCTGAATCTCATGGACAGCAAATTCCTTTGTAGGTACAAGCCTTGCGGGTGGAGCTGCTGCTATCTGGGCTTGAACCTGAGGCAGAGCCGGGCAGGAGCTCCCAGCACACAGAGCCTGTCTTGGCTAACGGAGGGAGAAACCAAACCTCAGATCTTAAGCAGTGCGCAGCCTCTCGTCCTCCTACAATCTGGCAAACTGGTGCACAAGTGCACATCACTAAGGATCAAAGCAGATTAGATCAGAAAGAGATTTTAGGGATTTCCTAATTTTGTCAATGAGGAAATCATAGCCCATGACCACATGGCTGGCTGGTGGAGATTGGGACCTAGATTCCCCTCTCTTTGGGTCAGCGGGCTTTCCTTTGCATACCCTACATACTTGTGGCCTGTGGAAGTAAGGTAGCTCACTGCTAGCACCAGGCAGAGACTCAAGGACATTGCAAATGGGGGAGCTGGGCATGTGGTCAACTGACTTTGGCTTACATACATAGTCAGCCCAGACCATGGGCTATTGATAGTAGTGCTGTTTGTAAAGTATTTCCAGGTCTTGAAGACTTGTGGTAGGAGGGCCTTCTGCCCTTTGTTGTGGGATCATATAAATAGTTTGAGGCAATGTAGGTTACAAGCAGAAATGATGTATATCACTTCTAGACCAAAGCATTTAATTGCTGGCATGGACCCTCAGAATTGCTCTTTTTCCCTTTAGTGTGGCAACCAGTGACATTTGAAACGGTAGCTGCTCCTGCAGTTTGGGATCCTGAGTGATGCTGATAAGCAGAGCTCACCCTGATGCGATGGGTCTATGACAGCCTGAGTGAGTGAGGCATGCGCTACAGGATTTGGAGGGCATTTGTTACTGCAGCAACACCCAGCGTATCCTGGTTGACAGAATCTCCTCTATCATTTTCAAGGCAATTGATTCTTTCTCCGTCCCTCTCTGCCCTTTCACTATCCCAACTTTCCTTCTAATGTACTTTCACCTTGTTTAGGGGTCCTTTCATTTTTGTTGTTGCTGCTTTTTTTTCCTGCCAGATTTCATCAGTAGGAAAAGAAGAGGAGCTGTGATATTGTTTGCTTCCATCAACCCTCCCACAGCATCTTTTTAATAATATCTGAGACTAATAAAAAGATCTCGCTCTGATGTCACCTTGGAGCCCTAGGTATAAAACATGAAGAAGTAAGCTCGGCATTCACAAAAGAAAAAAGGAATTTTGTAATGTAAGTTAATAAATAGAACACTAGTGGAAAATAGAGTCAGCCATTGATCATTATTTTGAAAGACAGTAAGAGGAGAGTTATAGCTACTATCATGATGGATAAGGGAATTTCATTAGTTTTAGGTTAATTTGTTTAAAAGACTGCATAAAGCTTTTTCTTCTATTAGTGATGAGCTATGTGCCACTCCAACTTTTATTATTAAATATATTGACCATCTGTACCACATAATTTAAAACATCTTTTTCTTTAAAAAAATTTAATATTTTATTAACACAAAGATAGTACATGCTCAGTAAATAAAACTTGGAAAAACACCAGAGACATAAAGAAAAAAGTTATAGAATTTGCTCTCCTTCTAGGACCCAGAAATAACCATTCAGTATTTGGTTCATGATCTTAGAGAATTTCAACTATATAAATATATATAAATATAAATTATATATGTGTGTGTGTGTGTGTGTGTGTGTAGCTATAGACTGAACTATATTGCACTACAAAAAGATTTATAGGTGGAAGCCCTAAGTTCCAATGTGATAGAATTTGGAGATGGGGCTTTTGGGAGATAAATAGGTTTAGATAAGGTTTTGAGGGTGGGGGCTTTCATGATGTGATTAGTGCCCTTATAAAAAAAGACACCAGAGAGCGTTTTCTCCTTCTGTTTCCCCTCACGTGAGGACACAGCAAGAAGGTGACTGTCTACAAACCAGAAGAGGGTCTCCCCCGAACCCAACCACAGTTACGCCCTGGTCTGAGACTTCCAACCTCCAGAACAATGAGAAACAAATTCCTGCTGTTTAAGCCACCCAGTCTATGTATTTAGTTATGGAAGCCTGAGATGATCAATACATGTGTGTTTTTGTACAATTATTGTTTAAAACTACTGAGGAATATTATGCAATAGTAGCTAATAGATACAGAGGTCAATAATGTTTTTTTTTTTTTTTTAACTGGGGGATATTTATATTGGGAAGAATATACATTAATTATCAAATACAATGTAATGTCTACCAAATATAATTTTCACTTCTTTAATAAGAATTATTAGAAATAGGTAATTTCTTTGACCTAATAGTTCTACTTGAAGAAATTTCATCTGTAAAACAGATGTGAGCAATGAAATTTATATTGTTTATGAAACCTTTATTGCACTTTAAATTAGAAACATACTAATGTTCAATAAAAGGGATTGCTTAAGGAAATTTGATACATTTATCAATTCAACAGAATACTCCATAGCCTCTAAAGTTATTTTGCAAATGAGTGCAAGTAAAACTGGAGAGAAGTGAATAAGATCAATGGAATGCTATGATGTCGATATCCTGGTTGCCAGGTTGTACTATAGTTCTGCAAAATGCTACTATTGGGAGAAGTTATAAGAGTACACAGAATCTCTGTAGTATTTCCTACAACTACATGCAACTCTATAATCATCTTAAAATAAATTTAATTTTTAAAAAATGAAAAAAAAATTGTGGGAATGGTTTATGAAGGACAATAGTACTTGAAGATGAATTCTTGTCCCCAAACTCTAAAGCAATAGATTAATGTTATTGTAGAGAATTCTGTGAACGTAGCCAAGCATGTTGCTGAGTGTACTTTAAATTGAGGAAATTGTATTTTGGAAAAATAATTTCACTGCCTAACCTACCAGGCATTAGAGTATTTCTTGTTTTTTGAATTTTTTAAATTTAATGTAAATAAGCAGAAAAATATTACATAGAAAATATAATTTGTTCATTTATTTCCCAGAAGTATAGTAGCAAGAATCTCCAAAAAATGTATTACGGAAGAATATTTATTGAAGTGGGGATTTGTTAACAAAATCAAAATACAGATTATGAAAGGGTATAGTGCAATAGAGAAGATGTTTGTGGCTATCTCATGGTCCCACCGCCTCCTCCTGGGAAAGCAGGTGAGCCCAGCCGTGTTCTCACAACGATACACAAACACAGGAGCCCAGGCCTACCTATGGGCTTAAAACCAGGACGTCATCCCTTCCACCTATTTCTTTGGGCCAAAGCATGTCACATGGAAAGCTGAGAGTCAGGGATGGGGCAGGTCATCCCCAGCTATGTTGGGAGGACACTACAAAGTCATGTGGCAAAGGGCTTAATTATAGAGATGACTGAAGAAACGGGGTCATTCTCACAATCCACACAACCTCACGTTCTTCTCTACTTGCTATCACCTTTCTCGGTGAAAGAAATGTAAATGGGCCTTTACAGAAAAGCTCTTCAAAAGGGTTGTCTGGGCTTCTGGTATATGATGAATGAATGAAAAAAATGCTGAATATTATACTTTCAGCCTTTGCCGTCTGATATAAATCTCTTTAAAATTTGCATTTATTTTCTAGTGATTTTGAAGGAATTGGTCATGCTTATGGGATATTACGTTGTTCCTGTTGTGAAATACTCTGCCTTCCACACTAGCTAGTACTTGCCATTCCTGGACTTTCTAGTGGTGACTTGCGAGGGTTGGCTTGTTTCTCACTCAAAATGGCAAAAAATGAATAAAATAATACAAAACTATAAACAGAAAAAGAGGCAATGGACAAAGGAAATCAAAATTTTGAAAGATGGAGAACAGGTAAAAAAACAACAGAACTGAAAACTGAAGCATCAAATACTCAAGTGAGAAAAAAAAATGTATGTTTTTTTCCTTTAGGGCTCCTGCCTTTGACATTAAGTTATTTAGAAACGGCTTCCCTGCCCTGATTTATACGGTTATTTGCTCGCCTTTTCTATAATTTTATGGAGTTACTTTTTCTCCATCTTAAAAAATTCTTCATCTTGAAAAAAAATCTATCATGTCAAATTAAGTATAGAGAGTATTATAACCAGTTCTTCTTCCTCTCTGTTAAGAAATAAGTGAGAAAGTGGTCCAACATACCTACAGGATAAATTTAGGAAGAATATTAGGATAGAATTTAGTTTGAGAATTTATCTGTTAAGTAAACTAAATAGCTGCTCTCTATGAGAATAAAACAATAACAACCACAAACTGTCTAACAGCCTGGTATGGTATCCGTGTGTCTTTCACACAGGGTGCACATTGCAGTTTAGTAGTGGTCTCATATACATATCACATTCCCAAAATGCAGGAGGCAAAGCACTAGATTGGTTCACCTAAAGGATGTTTCAGCCTGATCCTTCCCTGATCTAGTCATTAGACTTGCAAGAGCCTCATTTTTAAAGATCTTTCCAAGTTTGGCTGGCATAGGAAGAAGGAAGGGAAGAAATAAAAAAAGAAAGTACACGGAAACATATTTGAGGCCATATCTACGCCCCTTGACTCTCAGCTTGTCACATGACATGCTCTGGCCCAAAGAATAAGGCAAAAGGGATGATGTCATGGTTCCAAGTCTAGAGGTTGGCCTGGGCTCCTGTATTTCTGTATCACTATGAGAGCATGCCCAGGATCAGCTGCCATCCCAGGAGGAGGAACCAATGACACCGCTGAAATAGCCATAAAAATGTTATCTATTACATAATACCATTTTATAATTTGCTTGTTTTTCAACTTTGTTAACAAATCCCCAGGTCAACAGATATTCTACAATATTTGAATTGCGCCTACTCTACAAAGTGAGAACTAGAAGAATGCGATTTTCGGGTCAGCTTGTTTTAGCATGCTTCTCTAGGTTTGTCATCAGTTCCAAAGGAACAGAGAGATTGTAAAAGATATTTTAATTCAAGTGGCCATGTTCAAGTAATTCCACTTTCCTTGAAAAACTGTCTAAAGTGATGTCTAGTGTGACGCAATGCTACCTTGCTAACTAAACCACGTATTAATTCCTACTGATACTGAACCACAGCAGCATATTCACCTGGTTGTTGTAACACATGAAAATCCACAAGCACGACTCAAATCCAAGATGACTGCCCCTAAACCTACACAGAGAAAAGAGATTTTAAAACAGTTGTGGCCGGGCGCGGTGGCTCATGCCTGTAATCCCAGCACTTTGGGAGGCCGAGGCGGGTGGATCACGAGGTCAAGAGATCGAGACCATCCTGGTCAACATGGTGAAACCCCGTCTCTACTAAAACTACAAAAAATTAGCTGGGCATGGTGGCGCATGCCTGTAATCCCAGCTACTCAGGAGGCTGAGGCAGGAGAATTGCCTGAACCCAGGAGGCGGAGGTTGCGGTGAGCCGAGATCGTGCCATTGCACTCCAGCCTGGGTAACAAGAGTGAAACTCTGTCTCAAAAAAAAAACAAACAAACAACAACAACAACAAAAAACAGTTGTTTCCTGTCTGTTCAAGCTGGGACCCAAATACGCATTCGAACATAACAACTGCCACATTATTCTCCAAACGTGTCAACACAGAGCTCAATCTTTTAGCTAGTTTAGGTACCTATTACAGTTACTCTGTGAAGAAGGAGTTTTCAAATTTTTTATTAATTGAAAACCTTACTAAAAATCTCCATGCTTAAATGCTCGAGAAGAATTTGCACCTCTGCCAACTAAAAATTACTCATGGAGTTAAGACTTTGGTTCCGTGTATGCACATTTCCACTTTCAAAAATGTCATCTGTTGTAACAGAATTCCTTAAATCACCAAAAACATAACATAAAGCTGGCTAGAGTCCTGATAGTCTGGTTTACTATATAGGCACTCTCCAGAAGAAATTATTCATGGTAATGGATTATAGCTTGGCCCCTGCAATTAGAATGGTGAGGGCCTTCCACATTGCAAGTGACAGTTACTAATGATTTTTCTTTATTTTATTATTCCCAAATTCAAAATAAAGAGTTGCCCGCTGATTGCTGATGTCTACTGTTTCTCCAGTTCGTTTCCAAGTGGGACAGGTCTGAGCATTTCCAGGTGTGTAGGTTAATTCCTAGTGACTTCAACTAAATTTGTTAATGGGAAGAGAAGACCTCATTGCAGAAACAGCAGGAAAAGTCTTATTTTATAGCCCCATTGTTGACCTCAGTCCTTCTTCTTACCTTAGTCCTGAGAAATTTCACTCAGCTTAGCAATGGATTCTTGTTCATGTGCACAATTAGGGAAATCCTTGAGTTATTTTCTAACCAAAATCATACATGGAAAACTT